AGGCTACTTCTAGGCCATATATCACTGTGATTGTGCCAGAAGTTTAATCTGCTGTTTACAGTTTAAAATAGCAATACTGGTTCCTGGGCAGAACTGTGCACATTGCTATCATGATTTGCCTTTCACTGGAATTTGCAGTTGTGTCTATCTGGTTCTGGAAGCTATTTCTCAAAGGGTGGGAACAGTAAACAGTGCATAACAGTAAGGAAATAAAGGCTTTGCCTTCAGAGATGCTTCTTTCCTGTGATGGTTGATTTGGGCCTTAGTCCTGAACTGCAGGTTGTGAAAGTAGGACTGGTGCTTGTTTTGTCTTCACCTGTTGAGATTCTATTTTTTTGTATTAAAAGAAGCTTCTCTTTTTTAGCAGCAGCCAAGAGAGGGGTGTTTAACCTTTTTGACATTGTAAAATAGGTATATATTCTATAGCAGTAATTCAAAGGTATGTAGGTGTTGCTTGGATGAAAGCCTAGTAATGAGATCAGAGAAGACACCTAATTGAGTGGTGCTGATCAGGATGAGGAATCTGGTTTTAAGGTTACAGCACTTTGAACAGGAGCTTTGCACTGAAAAATACTTCTCCTTGCAGGCAGTTCCAGGGCTGCATCTTTGCACTGGACAGGTGAGCGAGCTGTCAGTGTCCTCTTGCTGGGTCTCCTTCCTGCAGCCTACCTGTATCCTGGACCAGCCATGGACTATTCACTGGCTGCAGCCCTTACTCTCCATGGCCACTGGTAAGCACAATAGGCTCTTCAGAATTAAGAGTAAAGTCTGATAGTCAGGATGACTCTAAGCCTTAAGTCTTAAATCTTAATTTAAGATACTGTATATGACAGTAAGTCATACATCTAGTGTAAAATACCTTACTCTCGAAGTTCTGTGACAGTCAGAGTCTTTGACAAGACTAGTCATACCTTGGTCTTCCTTTGTCATGCTTCCTCTCAGTCAGAAGGCAGGATAAATATTACTGTAAAGGAATCCATAACCATTCTCTACACAATATCTTACTCAAGAGGACTTCCTTGCCACTGGCTATGTAGAATCTTGACTTTTTATCTTGTAGAAGACAGACCTAAAGGTGTTACTATGTAGGAAAATTCTGTTGTACTTTCATAGGGCTACAGTATCTGTAAGAGAAAAAAGAGAGTTTGCTTGCCATAAATGTTAATTTTATTGCCTTACAGATCAGATAATGCCTCTAATAGCTGATCAGAAACTGCAGAGGAGTATTGTGTATATTTTTGAGATGTTTTCTTTCAGCTTTTGCTACCTTTTTCCTTAGGAAATCTTGTCTTATTGTCCTGCGTTGGAAATAGTGCTTCAGGTATTTAGGTGGTTATCAGTCCCAACACTAACCTATGAGTAGACTTACTCAAGATGCCTGAAACCATGTTTATCTTGTGTACCATTTCTGGTGGCATATCATAAAGCCCTCGTGAATCCTGTGTTGTGTGTCTACTGCACATCAGCTGTTCTTGGGGACACTGGTCTTTTCCTGTGAGGGCTTTTGTGAATGAGTGTTCTGTAAAGTCATACACCACTTCTTCTGAGAAGTCTTAGCATGGCTCGGTCTTACTCTGCCATGCAAAGATCATATGAAAATCCCTTATCAACAGCACAGTTGAAGGGCAACCTGTGAATCCCAAGTTGACTGTGGTTTATTTATCCACACTTCTGAAGGCTCGAAGTCTGGGTAGGGGCTGGTTTCACTCATGACCTTATTCCAGTGTCCAGTTGTAAAAAATAGCTGTAGCAGTTTCAGAGTAGTTGCCTTTCTGCTGCTTCGCCCTTCTGCTTCTGTTATGTACGTCTAGGGACTCCTTGCACCTCTTTTCATGCTTTTGACATCTTATGGTATTAGAACTCCATCTAAGTGAAACTGAGCTCAGTGTTCACTTCAGAGATGTCTGCTGCAGGACTTTGAATTTTACTAGGTCACTAATGTGTCTTGATCTGTGGGACACAGGTTCTTCAGCTTCAGGTAAGACCAAGGCAAAATCCTAGGAAGAAAATTGTTGCATTAAATATGTATCTCTTTTTAACCAAGTTGACATCTGTCATTGCACAAAGCAAACATAATTGTACTTTTGTACATGAGAACTTGTACAAAATTGTACAAGAGAACTACCATGTTAGTTTAACAGCATCCTCTGTCTTCCTGTTGCTGGATAGCTTAAATCTGGACAAGAGTTCACTTGCAGTCTGTCAGATGTATTAAAAACCCAAAGTATGCTAATTTTTTGGTTGCAACTATTTTTTAATCTAAATACACATCCAGGAGTCTTCTGTGTATTTGTGACAGTGGCTGGTCCCAGGGCAACACCTTGCTGATCAACCAAGAAGGGTATTTCCTTGTTTCTTTTCTTCAATCCTTGGAAGTCAGATAAGCTGCCCAGTCTTTCTTGGAGGCAAATTCTACAGATTCTGTTATCTGAAAGAGCTGTGCTCAATAAACACCGTGTTTCCTCAGTACCATTAAGAAAACTCTGACCCGTATTTTTTATTTTTTAAACTAGAATATGCAGAATGTTGTTTTATTTGTTCTTAAATAGGTGCATCTTCTTTCTGAGTCGGAAATGGGTGTTCTTTAGGAAAGGTTGATAATAGCGGGTGAAAAAAATGATGTGTTTGAGCCATCTTAGTAGTATGTTCATATAAATGGAGTGGATTCCAGTGAGGAATGTGCTTTCCTGACTGCAGCTTTTTTCTTCTTGTTATTTTGTAGGGGTCTTGGACAGGTTATAACTGACTACGTCCATGGAGATACATCCATTAAACTGGCCAATACGGGTCTGTATGTACTGTCAGCTGTTACCTTTGCTGGCCTCTGCTACTTTAACTATCATGATGTTGGTATCTGCAAGGCTGTTGCTATGCTGTGGAGCCTCTAAGATGCGATGAAGTCCCTGACAAACATGATTGTTCACTGCTGCCTCTGCTTCACCGTATTTTTATCAACGTGTTTAATGCGAAACAAATGGATCCATAGTATGTACATTCTGCAGCAAGTTCAGAACTAGACTTTTAGAAATAAACATCCAACAGCAGTAAAAATATTAGAAAAGTAAATTTAAAGTGGATGAACTACAGGTGAGGGTGAGTTGATTTAAGCTGCACTGTAGATTGAGAGGAATTAGTTGTATCAGTGGCAGACTTACACAGCTGAAGGTAACTTTCCTTGTAATGGCAGCTTTGATGAGTGTTTTTCTAAAACAACTGTTATTTGGTTTCCTACTTTGTAAAACATACATGGCTTGTGGAAAATTAAACTCTTATTTCTGACATCACAACAACTGAACTGTATGTAAGACACACCCTGTAACTCTTTGGACCCCAAGAGTTGATACAGAAAAGGGAATATTTTTTTCTTAATTCATACAATAAAGAATTTACAGAAATAGTGTGTGTGCTTCTGAGCATTTCTTATTACTTTTGAGTTACTTAAAATGTTTTCTCTGCAGATAGTTACTGTTTTTTTTTCCTAAAATGAATTTCAAATACCAATTCATATTGTTACATTACTGTTCATATCGTTACTCTGCATTATTTCATTTAGATGTTACAAAACAAAAAATTAATACTTCGAGGTGACTTAGACTTGACTTAATACAGAGTAATGTCCGTTAGAAAATACAAAATTGACTTACTTAGAAAAAAAATACTTAGAAAATACTTTTGCAGATTAGTTTTACGAGCCATAAACAGGATAGGGCTTTCATAGTTTCCCAGCAATGTGTATGTTCATCTACAACAGTTTGGGGAGTTTATTTTCTAAATAAACACATTTTCCCACAACTAAGACAACAGACATACCCTTTCTGCTCAATGTGAAACTGACCAAGTGTTCTTTTCCAAGTCTTAATGTTTTAAAATATTTTAGGAGGCTTGAGACTTGTTTTGGTAACAACAGGTGTTTTGGTTTTTACCAAAATGAGTCTTGAGACTTTTTTCTTTCTTCTACAAGTTTGAGTATTTTCCTCCCTTTCATGACAGATAGAAGCCTTCCTGTTTCCTCTGATTACTTCTGCCTGGGTGGGGTATGACAATTGTACCCGCTCTATTGCATGGCAAGTTGAAGACCCAGGACCCCACCTGAGCCAACATTCAGGTTATCACTCCCTGGAGCTGGAGCAGAAAAGGATGATTTCTTATATATAGGAGAAAAGGATAATACATTCCATCACTAATTTTGGTTTTGGTGAAATCTAGTGCTTGCTCAGTTCTAAATGTGAAATAGAGTTCACAGCCTGATCCCAACATATGTTGTGTTGTCACATACACAGAATAAGGTAGGGTCCTTACGGGCGCTGCCCATATCTACATTTGTTCCAGGCTGTTAGAAGGACAAATGTCTGTTTCATTTCATTTCATCACTAACCTATAATTTACTGTTAACTTTTATGTAAGCCCCCTTACATAAAAACATAACTTTTTTTTCCTTGGCCCCTTTGAGGACAAACAGCTGTATTAGAAATTTTACTGTTCACTTAAGTTAGCAGTTTTCTAAAGAAAGATTTCCAGTAAGTTAAAAATTGTTGTTTGTATTTCAGTTGAAGGTGAGAATTTCACTGAGATTCATGAAGATGCTCAGGAAATAATGTGGATGTAAGAAAGTGTTCATTGGCCCAGTGCATGGTCTGCTTATGAAATCTGTTATTTTAAGTCGTTTTCTCTCCCTCCCCAAAATAGATCTACCTCATCTATGACTCACCTAATTAAAAAGCTCTTTGATCAACAAGTGGTAAAGATTTTAGGGATCAAACTATACAGGACTATATAGGCACGCACATGCTTGTTTCCTCTATGTGTAATACTCTTCTATCTGGCTGGAAAATATGCTGCTTCTTTTTGCCAAGGATTTGAATTTGTTTTCCTTTGCAAGATGCTCATTTTTGTACTGACTTACGGTAGTGAAAAACATGAAACTGGCTTGCCTCAGATAAAGAAATAATAAGATGTCTTTAATAAAAAGCCAAAATATATTTTAAGACTGTTGAAGTATGTCATAGGTGGTGACTTTCACAGCTGGTGACTGAAGCTAGAAACTTATCTTCATGGTTTCATCTACTTCATCTTCTCTTGACAGCTTCTTCAGAATTAATTTTCTTAAGTAGCCTTCTTTCTCAAAGGCCAAGAACATTCCTTGTTCTAGTGAGTATTCAAACTTAAATGCTCTGGAGCTACAAGATGTAAATGTCTTTTTGAAAAAGATTATGTTACTTTCACCAGGAATTTCTTTGGGAACTTCACCTTCCTGAGGAAGAAAAAGGCAATGCGTTAGTCCCAGCACAAGACCTGAGCAGTTTTGTTCAGCTCACAGATGTTTGAATTCTTAATTTTGCCTACTACTTACACATACATAAAGTACAGAAAGGAGATACTTACCCTGAATCGAACTGTCATTTTTCCACATTCATTCTCACAACACATGTAATAACTTTTATCTTCTACCTGGATGCTGAATGCAACAGGCATCCCTGATGAAGGTGTAGTAGTTTTGTAATAGTGAATGTTGAAGTGCATTCCATTGCCTAAATAGAAATTGTTTAATAGTCAGGAGAGAGCTGCAACAACACAACTGTGTTATGTTCTTCTCAGGATACTTTTCTGACAGGAGAGCCAGGACTGAATTTTTCACACTGCTGGTAGCATATATTTGACTTTCTGCAGTCATTCAATAACCAAGATTTAGAATTTGCAAGAAGGCATGTGAACTTGCCAGATAGTATGGCTAGGATGTTCAAACCCTTTTACGTGCGTGCATGAAGTGAGAATTGGATTTGTAAATAGTCATCTGTAAAGCAGATTATATCTGTGTATGTGTGTTCAGCAAATACAGTTCTGAATGAATTGCTGAGCCACCCCTCCCCCAATCAAAGGCAAAACCAAAAGCAGTGTTAACTGCTACTTTTAGAAGAAAGTAAGAGCTTTCAGTGCTCTGATAGTCTATTTAAACCTAAAAATGTTTCTGGGGGTTTGTTTTTGTTTTTGGTAATCCTACATATACCCTTCCCCTAAAAAAAATAAAAAAAGACATTAAGAGCTTAGTTTGTGATCACATTTCACCAAAAATCTAATCTCTCAGCTTTTTTCATAGAAATTAATTTAAGTCTTTACTTTCTCAACATTAAGAGTCAGTGATCACAAAGAACAAAAGCACATTTAGAATAAAGCAGCAGTGCAGTGGTTATAGTAAATATTTGGAAAATGGTCTACCAGATTTCATCTCCTGATCTGTCACATCTTCAAAAGCTGCCATGTTTAAATCTGGTCGAACCACAAGCAGCTGGCTATTTACATTTCGAAGGACTCGGTGGAGAGTTTTTTCCTTACAAAGGGCATCGCACTCCAGCCCTGTAAAAATGTTAAGCAAAGAGGGTGAAATACTTTAGCTGCAGTCTCCTCAGTTCCTAGTTTGCTACAGGCTTAATCTTGTCATTAAAATACTAGGTAAAACAAGTTCTTAGAATGGCAATCGCAAAACAGAGGCTGTGTCATTCTTCCCACCTCTGGCTTTTCAGAAGGATTTCCCACAATACAGCAGTCTGTATACATAAGTAAGAGAAGCTACCATATCTGTTAATGAGAGTTCAGAAGCAACAGTTACCTCACAATTAGAATTGCATTAAAAGGTCCTTCTGTACCTTATGAAGAAATAAAGCAACTTCAGCTTCAAAAGGAGACTGTGAGCTGTAGCGCTCTCTTTTACAGTAGCCATTATCAGTTTGAAAACTTGTTCTCTCAGGCACCGTAAACATTTATGGGTTAGTAAGTGTAAGCAGGTTAGTTCAGGTAAAATTGATAACGAAGGTAATAAAATATGAGCTTTCATCTTACCATCATCATCTTGGTTCCAAGTGAGCAATGAAAAAGACAAAGAAAAAACACCATTAACCTCTGCCCCCACAAAAGAAACCATTCTACCCACCCAGTTTTGTTGTGCAAGACTGGCAGCCACCCACCTACACGTTTCCAGTTGTATTCCCCAGTATCACTAACTCACCCAGATGTGCTGTTCTAACTGCAGAGTGTGTTTTATCTGTGAGCATAACAAACTCAACAGAATGGTGAAACCACCAGTCATTTGAGAACTGGAGTTACCACCAAACCAAGAGGTATGCAAAATGTTTTAGGGTTACTTAAGGGTGAGCAGCTCAGGTCAGTTTAAGCCTATAACCAAGGAATAAATGGCATGCAAATTTTTGTTTTCATCAGCACCTTTATTCTAAGTGAGCAAAAGGACAAGCAACAATCATTACAAATAGCTTTTAAAGAAGAAACTGTTTTCTAACTTTATTGTATGAGATAGGAAGTCACCACTTCTTCCAAGTCTACTCCACAGTATTCCAACCTTTCTGAGTGTCCTTTACAGGAATATATTGTATGAAGCACCAAATATTCCAGTGACTCAAGTACTTGGCTAGCAGTATTTCAAACTGACCTATTAACACACTGGGAGAGCTGTCTCAAACTCAGATTCTTTCTGCAGTGAACAGCCTGCCTCCATAATCCAAGAACTATGGTTCTTCTAAGTGGGTTGGGATTGAAACTGCTTTGAGGATTGCTTGGGTAAAATGGGGAAAAAAGTAGGATTCCACAAAAACAGGGATGCCAGCCCAAGGAAAGGACTGAATTGTATATCAGCTTTTGATCTTCCATGCAGAAAGAAGACACAGTGTGTCTCTCCCAGCAGTGGGTAGTAATTACCTGCAAAATAGAGGCAGAAATTTTCTCCAAGGTATACTGCACACACAGTCTGTTCATTCATTTTCACCCTACAAAAACACATGGAGAGGATTCAGTTAAGAACAATGCCTTTTACTCTATAAAGCAAGGAACTTCTTGAGCTAGTTCTCTTCCAGTGCATAACACTATTAATAGGGCGGGCATGTTTCACTACCTGTTAAATTGCTTTTTCAAATAATTGGTCTGTTGCCTTTATCGTTATTAAGAATAACAGAGCATCCTTCAAGTTCTGTTATCTTACAAAACTTTTCATTCTTAAATGGTGTTACACAGGAGTAAATATGAACTCACTAACATTTTCTCTTTCTATGAGAATGATAAAGCTCCATGAATGTACTTCATCAAATTAGTTATTTTCTCTTGGGTCTGGAAAAGTTGTTTTACTATCACGCAGTCATTTGATTTTCTGTTTCTAATTTTCAAGTAGGAAAGTGACTAAGACTGGATTAAGGACCTCGTTACTGGCCATTAAACCATAAACGTTGTATTAAGTTTACATAGAGTCATCTTTACAGGTTTGCTATATAAAAGGCTGAACTTCAAAAAAAACCCTAACTTCAGACTGCTCCTTGGAAATGCCTGTATTTTTTGCATCTTGAGCTGGAATTGTTCCTATAGAAGAATACCTGTATTGACTAGGATTGAACAGTAAATTCTGATATTTCAGCAATTTTACTGCCATTAGGATGGTTGCCATTGGAAGGAATAATTCTAAGAAATAAACACTAGATTAGTTTTATTTTTAAACTGATGGTGAGTATGATGATGTAATCTTCAAAATTAAAATAGCATCTCCTATCTGTAAAGAAAAATGAGAATAGGAATAAAGGGTATTATAATATGATAGAGGAAGACGTGGCAAAGAATTTAGTTCTTCTCTGGCAGTAAACAGTTCTAAAATGTCCTGTGCCGCTAATTTTGTGAAATGCAGGTTGCATTTTACTTCCTGTTTCCTTTTAGTCTGTATCTTAGTAAATTTTTTGTTCATTTTCCTGAAATGCTTTCTTGTATGAATGTTTTTCCCTGGTTTATCTATGTTTTTAGAAATAAAGGCATTTTTATAAGTAGTCTAGACTAGGAAGTGCTTCATTCCAACCTACCAACTCTGGTTGAGGCGTTCTTTTCCCTTGCACTAGCCACAGAAATAATAAATGCAATAACTGTTTAGTAACTGTTGAACGTAGGTAAACAATGGGAAGACCTGTGTCTTGCACTGCGATATTACTGTGCAAAGCATTTGGCTTACTTCCAAGGCTCTTTTTCACCACTTGGAAAAGACTTACTGTACAAAACAAGGAGCAATGCCAACTTAAGTAAAAAACCACACTCTTCAACCTTAGGGATCGGGGTAGGGAAATCACAGTGCTCTGTTTCCTCGTGCCTCTAGTGGAGCATTTTGAAGAATGTATTTGAGAGTGATTTTTTCACATCCTATTTTTATATGGTCTGTAGTTCTAGGTGGTCTCTGCAGAACAGGTTCATAGCAGAGGACTGCATCTTATGTTTCCAAACATGCATACTGAAGCCTTTGAAATGAAATACCACATCATCACAACAGCGCATGGCTCATATGTAATGAAGTAAACCAAGAAGTCTAAGACAACAGAGGAGAAGACATAGCCAGGACTTAACGATATGTGATTAAAGGAAAGGGTGGCCCTTGCTTTAGTGTGGGAAACTTAAACCTACCACACTTCTTCGCCCGATGTGCAGTAAAAGATGGTCAGATGTTTTACCAAGCACGCTTGTAAGGAACGGTAGAAGCTAAAAAGGAGCTTTTAGCTGCCTGTTCGAGACAGCGTGTAACAACTTGCCCCGCAGGGAAGAAAAGGCGCTGGGCCGCGCTCCGGCGGGTCGTGCTGCGCTCGGCCC